TGGCTTCCTGTTGAAAAGGAAAGAGGACAGTGCGGTTTACCATGCATCCAAGATCCACTCTTATGGTCACACGTCCAAAAGTTCTCTAGCTGTATAATATTAACAACCCAGGCCCTAATCAGTATTCTGAAGAAGGTGATTTTTTGACAGCAATATTCTGAATGAGAAAATTACTACATCATTATTTTTAAACATTATAATAAACTTCTTCCATTGTTTCATGGGTTGAAAACCAGATGAAGTAAGCAACCTCTTAGCATGCATAAAACTAGAACTAGAAGATGTGATTATAATATTTAACACTTACAACTTGAAGGAAATAAACTATTTAATAAGGGAAATAAACTATTTAATAAGGGAAATAAACTATTTAATAAGGGAAATAAACTATTTAATAAGGGAAATAAACATAAGGTGGTGAAATAAATTTGCAATGAAAATAGGATAAGAAGAATGAGTAAAGATGGCAATAATAAAAGTAATTATTGGTAAAGAAGAAATAAAAAAAAGGAAGCAAAGAGAGCAGTAAATTATAATTCATGCACAAAGCTTAGTTGTGTCCATACTATCAAATGTTCTGTGACAAATATTTGTGACTTCCCCATATATCTGGGTGTAATATAACATCATGTCCATATATGGATCAGACAAATCTGTCATACAAAACCAGATTGAGGGAGCAAGATTGTGAATCTAAATCAACACTTTTCAGAATGTCTAACTCTTGATCAAGAAATACTAAAAAATTCTCATTTTCAAGTTCCAATACACAAATATTTATGCTGTAATATGATATGCATCTTTAGCTACTAAAAGAAACTGAATTCAAATAAATTGCGCCCTCAGCAACATTCACTCCTAGAACCTTTAAGCTTACATCATTCACAATATAAATTCCATTCTTTGGATAACTAAATCCTGCAAAGCTGGCAGAGTTTTGTAGCCAGTCTCTGGAGAGGGTATGCTACAGCACATGCTGTCATAAATTCTGCCAATTATTATAGCTGTGCAGGAGCAAATTACTATAACAGATTAGTATGATGACATAGAATGTCATCACATGCCGGTGCTGTCAATCAAGCTAACGTTAAGCACTTGAGATATTCCCTTGGATCCTACCTGCTCCCCTACAACAGGTCGTATCCTATCACTTTCATTGAACGTTCTAAGTACTAACATTTATATACTTACATGAGTTCAATTAATCATGAAATATTTCCTTGGATCCTACCTGCTCCCCTATAACAGGTCGTATCTTATCACTTTCATTGAACGTTCTAAGTACTAACATTTATACACTTACATAAGAGTTCAATCAATCTTGAAATATTTCCTTAGATCCTATCTGCTCCTCAACAACAAGTCATACAATATCTCATTTTCATTGAACATTTTAACACGTTGGCTGCCAACGAAAAGTACTGTATACTCATCCCATAGGGTGTTGCTGAGAGAGCCAGGGATGACTACACTAGTCAAAATCAGGGTAACATTCTAGCATTTATTACTTCTTTGTTATACATTGCAGAACCACAAACTTAACGGCTGGGAGTTTGGGGAAGATGCAACTAGACGATGATGTACAAATGACATATGTATGTTTGTTGTGTTATGTTGCCGGCAGTACACTCGAGTGACACAAGTGGTGGCACCCTTTGAACATATACCAACCCATGCAAAAAGCGGACACGAATTCGCATTTGGCATAGTCAATAAAAAGTGCTGTCACAGTGCCGCCCACGAGTTTACTCGTCCCCTAATATATTCCCACCAATTTATGAGACACATCATTTTGATGATATATGGCTAGATAAAATTTCAACAAAGTATGTTTGTACATGTAAACTTGTCTTGGCACATGGAAAGGAACCTTTAAAAACGGTCTGCCAGTCAACATGTTAAGTTCTACCATTTATACACTTACATAAGATTTCATCAATCATGAAATTTTTCCTTGGAATCAATCTGCTTTCCCACAATAGGTCGTTCTCATCACTTTTATTGAATGTTTTAAGTACTTAAACTTTATACCCTTACCAAGAGTTCAATCATTCATGAAATATTTCCTTGGATCATATCTGCTCTCCCCAAACAAATCATATCTTATCACTTTCATTGAACGTTTTAAGTTATAACATTTATACACTTACATACATGCCAAATAATTTGCAGGTGTGGGACTCTTGTTTTAAAACCCACTTCCCTAGGGAAGTGTCTGGAGCATACCCATCCCCTCCCCCGGTATGTTTATCCATAGATACCCAGTGAATGCATTCTTTGCTATTTTAAGGTTGCATTTTTACAACTGACAATTTGTTAGGTATTTTTTTCTTGAGAATGCATATTTCTGTCGTCCACGATTGAACATATCCCACTAACATGAGTCACGAGCGTGGCCGCTGGCAGTGTGTTCTTTGATCCTATTGATGCAACTAGTTTGATCTGATCTGATCGAAAAACTATTAAGAGAAATATTAAAATTTTTACTGAAGAATACATGAGATCTATTAAAAAAAAGTAAAAGTTATATGATAATACTGCAATAATGAAAGAGATATATAAAAATTTAAAAAAATTGTCTCTAAACACTTTTAGTTAGATCAAACAAATGTACTGGTTCATTGGTTGTTGCCAACATGATTGTAAGATTCTCTGAGAAATTTGTATCCGACATGATTTACTCTGCCAGAAAACTACAACCTGTGTAACGTGCCCGGCCCGCGATATTATAGGCAGCTCCATTTGATTGGATGAGAGTGTTACTTAAAGTAGAAAGCCAACCAAACCCTGGTGTAGTGCGCCATTTATTTGTGTTTGAATGTATAACAAAACCAATCCCACTTAAGTACAGTAGATGGATATTTAGCGAGAGAGCTACAAATTATACATATATTTTGCATTATAGGCAATACCGTACTACATTGATGCGCGAGATTTTGGTCCTTAAGAGTGAGAGCGCGAGACAGACCGCGAATATGTAAGCCTTGGCGTGTCAAATTGAATCTGCTACCACACAACAGTCAATCTCATCACTTTCACTGAAAATTTTAAGTACTAACACTACATTTACTTAGGAATTCAATCAATCATGAAACATTTTCTTGGATCCTATCTGCTCCCCTACAACAGTCGTATCTCATCACTTTCATTGAACTTAAGCTTACTAACTTTATACGCTTGCATCACAGCTCAATCAATCATTAAATATTTCTTTGGATCCTATTACCTCCCCCACAACAGGTCATATCTTATCACTTTCATTGAACATTCCAAGTACAGTATCAACATTTATACACGTACTAACATTTATGTTTTAAATTTAATCAAAAATAAATTCACTGAGCTATGCATATCTTAATGTTAGCTTATTTTAAAATGAAAAACTGAGATGATAGTTCAACAAACCAAGAGAAACTAACTAGAATTTTGCTTATTATACTATCATTCAATGATATAACTTAAAGATGAAATTCACCAAAAGAATGATTGGAAAGAGTGCCATCTATGGACACCAAAAGCCAAAAACCACTCTAACATATCCATACATACAGAAAAAGCCTACTGCATTGCTTTAACTTATCAGCATAGAGGGTCATACATTAATTTTTTCCAGACTGGTTTGTTCTGTTACAGTAAATTCCTTGTGTTCTTGAGTGATGTATGACATAGTGATCTTCACTGGAGGAGATTTATCAGTTTTTTGAGGTCATAATGTAAGGTGATCCGTATTATTATGAAAATGAAAAAATGATCACAAAAAGACAACAATCATCATTTTGTTATGTACTCTTTTGTGGGAAAGGAAGGGCAGGAAATGGTTATATAAAAAAATGTGTTTTTTTTACTATTTTAACAAGGAAGAAACAAAATGGATGACACCTTTACTTATACTTTATCTTATCAAATGTGATCACTTTTTCAGAATAAATTTTAGATGACTGAATACTACTGAACTGTCTGTGCATTTCATTTCAATGGTAATAAATAAAATTAATAAATCAACATAGACATATTTGATATACTACTAACACTACACTACTTCACCATACTTGCTTAAGTATATCTCATAATCTACTTTAAGCTACATACATCTACATCTATATTCTTATAAGTAGTGTAAATTCCTAATATTTATTACAGCAGAGGTTTTTGCAACGATAAATCTACTGCGACGGAGAATAGTAATTCCCAATGTTTATCTGCCGAGCAATGATGTTGCTATGAATAAAAAGACCAGTTGGTATATAAAACAAAATTAGTGATTTACATGTACCTATAAATCTTTAGATAGATTTTTAGATTAGATATTTTCAGCATCTGAAAACTAGCCAATGGGTGACCTATTAATATTGAACTGCTAGAAAGCAAAGGTTTAGGCATTAAGGAGATTGTGTCTAGTGCGATAGATAGTGAGAAAAATATCTAGAAAAAGAACCAAAATGCAGAAGGGTTTTAGCTAGATAAATATAGGACTAACGTTAGAAATGTCTAGAATGGAAGGGCCTATAGGGACTGGTTCTCAGAGATTTAGAATAACAGGAAAATCTGCCAGAAACTTCATCATTAAAAGACATTTTCTTTTGTAGCAGACATTACACAAATAACAGGTAATGTTGGTAGCCTACGTGCAACATTCTTAACTGAATCTACTGGCATATTTCAAGTTTTTATCTAAAAAATACTGGAATCGTAGAACTCTGGGGATACACATAATAAATAGACATTTGCGTAATTTTCGAGGTAAGTTCCAAAAAGAAAACTTAATGGCAAACATTTTATCCAGGGTAAATTATTCATGAAAAGACAAATAAAACTGATTAGCATACCTCCATATTTGTACACCTGAAATTCTTCATTTTCCTTGCGTGTCTCGAGAAAGAGATCAAATAGGTATTGTGACTTAACTCCTCCGAGTAATTCACCCATCGCTGACTTCTCTTCTCCTTCGTATGATTTTTCAAGAGCATCGTTATATTCATCATACTTCACTAGCCTACATTGGGTAACTGGTACAACATCTTCAAATCCTAAGAGCTGAGGTAAACAATATTTAGAATCAATGAATATTCATCATTTTTTATTTAAATATTCATGAGTGCTTTTCTATTAAAATAATAAAAAAATAGACCAGGTTTTAGTTCTGGGAGTCACCAGTTGAAAAAAAAAACATCCTACCAAAACAAATATGATCGGTGGTGACACCAACATCCCAAGTACTAACCACCGTAAACAACAGGGCACTATGGTGTGATATTGTCACAACTTTACTACTGTATTGTAACTGAAGGACAATAATCATTTAAGTTTACATTAATGAAATGTTTAGTAGTCAAACCATACTACTGTATTGTAACTAATGACAATAATGATTTAGTTTACATGAAAGGATTTTTAAGTAGGTAAGGGTACAAATAAAATTTGAAATAAATTACATTAGACAACCTACAAACCTAGTGTGCATGCACGTGAAGCATTCTAGGAAAAGGCTCTATTAGGGTCAGGGTTATACCATGATTTTTATGATATTCAGGGATATAAATTAGCTGTAAGTTGATGCTTGTCATGAGCTGTAGACTGGTTTCTAATCAAAAAGGCAATAAACTAAACTGGAAATAACTAATATAGGAATAACAAAATGACAATGACCAGTACTAAAACGGTACTCACCAAAAAGTGTGATTAGGCAAGATTTTATATATACCTTGTTTATTAAATTTATTTTAAGAAACAATGTCAAAGGAGGTCAGAAAATTTCTGTTTTTTCATTTAGCAAAATGAAGCTTTCAAAAGCAGCTGGGAGAAAAACGAACACGAATGTGTGAAGAAAAAACAAGTTCTCGTAACCTCAAAAGCTTCAATGACGGCAGTATAATAGCGGCAGTAGAGTATATTGGCTCTAAAGGCCGCCCAGACAAATAAGATTTATCAAAAGATCTATTAATTGATCAGCCGAGTGTTTCTAGATCTCCTCATCGGAGCTAAATATACCTTGCTCGAAATCCTATCAGGTGGTGTCCCAAACATAGTATGCAATGTTGCATTGTAATCAGTTTAGAATTTAGATTAATAATTGCTTTATAATTATAATATCATAAGGTAGACTTAATGGCAGTGATTATGTATTTCACAAAATAAATAAAAGTCTTGGAATTTTCGGGAAAGAAAAAGTAAATGCAAACAACTGAACATTACGTAGTTGCTATTTATTACATAATTCAATAGAACACCTGGGTATGCAAAAAAGGAGTGTGGAGTTCTATTGACTGCTAAAGGTGAATCACTTAGGATTTGGTTGTTGTGCCAGGTGGATGTGCAGTGTAAATGTTAGTGTTTTGGTGGTCTTGAAGTGCTATAGTTTCGGACACAACACATTGGTAGAATGATTACTTCATTCATTACTACGCCATTTCCCATGTCATATTTGTGTTAGATAGAGCATCCAAATAAGTTTTTTTTTTTTTTGTGTCAATATTCTATTATTTTATAAAATATGTGTATAGTAGAAATTAAACAAATCATTAGGAAGGAAACGAGGATAATGTTCATTCACGCAGGGCGTATATAGGCGAGTCCATTATTATGTTTTATGCTCGAGAGGTAAGTTTCAAAGGAAACTTAGGCATTTGTCGATTTATTCACGAAATAGACTTTGGTTTCCGCATAGTATTAGTATTAGTATGTTTATTTATTAACATCTCACCCTTTACCAAAGGCGCCTATATTGGCTTATGAGAGACTTAAACTATGTAGCACAGAAAGTAGAACACGGAATATGATGTACATGCGTAAGCAGGCTTTGTCATTTGAAAATAGCAGGCGGGCAATTAAACACTCACCATAATTTTCAGGCAAGTGATTATTTTGCGGGATGGCGTGAAGGGGGGGGGGTGGAGGCGGGAAGACTAAAGAAATACAGCAGATAAACATTCAATCGCTATGTGCAATCAACAGGAGTCAGCAAGACATCAAATAGAACTTCCAATATTTACATTTAGAGAAATAATAAAGTGCACTCTCCCAATACAGACCCACACTACTGTTCCACACCTCGGGACCGGTTATGATGTTCGGATTTCAGGAAAGTTTAGTTAGTGTAACATATGTATTGAACCCTTTCCGAACAAGCTTGTTGTAGGTTTTTACGCGCATTTTCGGTCTGATATTTTCTCCCTAAACCCAACACATTCTTCTTAGTTACGATGCCACTTACTGATTGGTTACATCAGGCCGTGCCTCCTAAACTCTGCCAGCTAATTGGTTAATTTTTTTTGTGAGGTCATGTGTAAAGCATGTGCTTAACTGTAATGACGTCAGATCGCCCAAAGTTTCATAATTGCGTGACAGCTTAAGGACGTTTTCAGCCTAGGCCTAGCATCTTTTACGTTGGTAAATAATTGCCGTGGTCAGCAAAAATTGCATCGGCATTTTGAGGACTGTGGAGGTGAGTTATTTTGAAATGTAGTGTGAGCTATTTTTCACACCTCTCGATAGCAGTTTAGGTGTGCGAGCGCGATTGTGCGCGTTAAATGACAAGGTCTGCGTAAGGACATACAGACATGAATGTTTGAAGGCATGCCAGTACAAAATCGGCTAAAATTTGATAATAAACTTTTTTTGATTTAAAAAAAATATTAATATGTGACATCACGTCTCTAAAAATTATGTATGCAAATTTAGCAATGTAGAGATGTGTATAAGAGACAGCTCCCAATACAGACCCACACCCCCCTTCCACACCTCGGGACTGGTTACGATGTTCGGATTTCAGGAAAGTTTAGTTAGTGTAACATATCTATTGAACCCTTTCCGAACAAGCTTGTTGTAGGCCATCTAGGGCCTAGCCACTGAAACAGGCCTAGGCCTAGCTAGCAAGAGTCTCGTGTCGTGGATTCTGTATGACTAGCCTACGAAACAAAAGTTAACATACATACAGTACCTGTTGTTTTGCTGTACTGTACAGCAAATTTAATTACCAATAAAATGAATGCTTTTATATTGTTTTTATGTGTATTTTCAGTGTTATATTTTTTCCCTAAACCCAACACATTCTTCTTAGTTACGATGCCACTTACTGATTGGTTACATCAGACATCAGGTTGCACCTCCTCAACTCTGCCAGCTAATTGGTTAATTTGTTTTGTGAGGTCATGTGTAAAATATGTGTTTAACTGTAATGAAGTCAGATCGCCCAAAGTTTCATAATTGCGTGACAGCATAAAGATGTTTTTAGCTTAGGCATGGCATCTTTTACTTTGGTAAATAATTGCCGTGGTCAGCAAAAATTGCATCGGCATTTTGAGGACTGTGGAGATGAGTTATTTTGAAATGTAGCGTGAGCTATTTTTCACACCTCTCGATAGCAGTTTAGGTGTGCGAGCGCGATTGTGCGCCTTAAATGAAAAGGTCTGCATAAGGACATACAGACATGAATGTTTGAAGGCATGCCAGTACAAAATCGGCTAAAATTTGATAATAAACTTTTTTTGATTTAAAAAAAATATTAATATGTGACATCACGTCTCTAAAAATTATGTATGCAAATTTAGCAATGTAGCAACCAAAGTCACCGTTACTGAATAAATGTATAATTTTATGATAAAAAATATGTAAAAAAAAATCTAAGAACCAAATGTTGCCATTATGACCAGCTTCCTATAAGCCAAATTACCTTATGAGCAACTTCAGTTGCCTCCAACAGTGTCTTATCCTTATGGATCTCAAGCTTAGCATCTAGCAGTTTGTTTGTCTCTGGGTGAAGTCCAAATAACTTTATCTTACAGGTATTCTTCTCTGCTTCTCGTTGCTTCTTTTCAGACTCTTCAACCTGCTTCATCTCTTCAACTACATTTACTAAGTGATCGGGAAAATCCTCCACTGATACAAATGCTGTTGAGATTTAAAGAACACAGTAGAATGAACGACAAGAAAAATATACATAATAATGAAATAATTTCAATAACAATAATATTAACAATAAAAACAATTAAGCCTGAAAAAATAATGCTTGTGCCTTTAACCATAAAACTATCTGTATAGAATGCCTTCGGCATAAAACGTTATGTTTTTTTTCTTCCAAAAATGCCTCTGGGTAAATATGACTCCAACTAATAATAAGAAAAATAATAATGAAGAATTTATATAGTGCAAAATAGGAAACAACTTGTTAAATCAAATGCACTTTTGACTGAAAGTTATGATGTTTTCTTAAAAAGTAATGCTTTGATGTTAGCTTTGAAAGTGGAACTCTCGACCATGTGGTTTCACACTTACTTACTTTTATTTCGTTTTGAATCAATTTGCCGATACATTAACATGTAAGCATTTGTTGAACTAGAATATGCTGATGAATAGCAGCCTCTATAGCCTGAAACAGAGCCACCATAGGTTTTACGGATGTCATCGTACGTTATCCGTGTCACATGTTGGTCGTTGAAACAGTACCAAAGTCCATCCGTAAATGATCTAAGTAAAATATAATAAATAAATATTACACATGATGCTAATCAATTGTACATGTGCATGTGCTCGTCTGTTGTGAAAATATGAAAACACTAGAAAATTCAATTAAAACTAAGCTAAGCCTATGTTGTCCTTACAACTTAATGTTAAATATCGGTTAGTTGTTGATGACTTTTAATGAGTAGTATGCACAGTTCCTTTTAGTTCACTGCAAACTTTTATTCACACAAACTGTACGTTGGTTACAATCAGCTAAACTCCAGGTTTCAGATGTTAGAGAACCCTTTTAGAGTGGAGTCAGCTCAGCTCTGTACTTTCTTCTGTGTACTCCTAACTACTGACTACTGATTACTGATCACTGACTCCGTGATATGGGGTGTTTGCCTATTATAATTTAGGTAATGGGGGTGTGTCTCAAGTAAGTCACCCCATACTTTTAGAGTTTCTGATTGGATTATAGAGAAATTCTTTTTCTATGATTTAGTAACCTGTTTACCAAAAAACTGCTAATTAAGATGTATCACAAACTTCAGAGCTTAGGCTCAAAACTGACAATCATAGATTCATAGTGTGAGAAAGGCCAAGTCCAACTGACTAGGGTAAAGTCATACAATGTCCAGTTATATTATTAGATTTCTGTATACTCAAGTTGACCATTAAAACTGTCAATCCAATTTAAGGCATTTATCAGGTGAAGGGTATCGATTCCAATGGTTATGCAAGTTAATACCACTGAACCTTAATACTGCATTACATTAACTTAACACAACCGACATCAACTGATCTTTGCAGCTTTGCAGCAATTGTGAGCAACTGTTAATTGTACGATTTGAGGCCACATTAGCACTTCAGCAGTTGCCCATGTTCTATTTGCTGTGATTCAAACAACTGACAAGCGATTGAGTGGTCATGTGACAGTGGAGCCCAATAACCCAAGTTTAGTACCATAACTGCACTCGTACCACACACGCTAATGTTGTATCAAATTAAGGTAAATAATTTGTAGTCAAAAGCATGTAAGTGCTATGGGCAACTAGTTCTTGTAGTTGCACAATTACAATACAGGACTCCCTCTAATTAAATACCCCTCCAATTAAAGACCACTTTTCTGTGGTCCCAAATGAACAATTGATTCATTCATTAATTCTGGTTTAAGACAACTGTCTTTTATCTTTATTATTCTAATTAGAGACCAAAGCTGCTAAAGACAATGTAAACTCTAGTCCAAAAAGTTGTCTTTAATTGATATGGAGGGAGACCTGTAGTAGGTAGAGCCTTGTCAGTCTTAGACATATAAATTAAAAACAATGATAGCACTTTATATAGCAATTTGAATGGTTTAGCTTTTGCCATCAGTCTATGCTGGATTCATCAGGTGTAGTAGCGATTGTCAGTGAAATAGGTATGAGTGTTACCTTGTATCAGTTGAGGTAAGTAGCATTGCAAAAGAAACATAAGCTTAGCTTTATTGTTTATTTTTTTAAAAATCAAATAGGTTATCAATTTCAAATGATGTGGAGGTCAACAGAAATAACTAACTTGATATATGCATAGTAGTGGCCTCCGGCTGCACTCCCAGAATGCACCATGATGGAGAACAGTTCGTAAATGTACGGTCCTTTATTTTCTCTTTCTCTTTCATTTTTATTGTTTGTTGCAACCATTGATGCTGCCTCATTTAATTTTTCCGATTCGTCTGCTTCAGAGTTCTTTTCATAATCATCTTTGTTGTTGGGGACACACCGAGTACCTTCTTCAGTAGCTTGATTTTCCTTTCAGATTTATAAAAGATCAATTAATCACATTAATAAGTAATACAAGATATAAGTGTTTGTAAAATTTCTCTAGCACCAAACATTATCTGAACAGCTCGCCCAACAATGGTGTGGAGATTAAAAATTTGCCAGTCACGCACTTTTTTCAGTTCAGACTGCCTCCATGAATTAGCACACATCATTGGTCGTCACACACTTTTGGAGAGAGGGAATAGATTTGTCCGCTGACAGTCATGACATAGTCTATAAACGCCCAGAAGCATTCTGAACAATGTTGGTGCCAGAATTTCCCCGAAGAGATGAAAAGTACCCGACAAAAGCATACAATGCATGCTGAATATTTACTAGATTTATAGTGACATGCTAATTCTGCTTGAACTTAATTAAATGTGACCGGCTCTGGCAAAACCCCTCCCCAATCTGCCGCAATTTCTAATTTTGCACAAGCACCCAAAAATTTCAACAATCAGAATTTTGAACATTTTGCATTTTGTAAAAAAAGATATATTCTGCAAAATATATATCACTAAATCTAACTAAAAAGTATATTAAATTATTTTAAAAAATACAAATCTTAATAATAAACTATTGATTTTGGAATCTGTGGAAGCTGTTTTCTCGAAACATACATGGCTGAATTAAATATTCATAACTTTGCTAATATTCAACAAATTTTTATCAAATAAACACTATTTTAGAGCAGAAGCTAAAAATACCAAAAACTCAATTTTGAATTTTTCCCAAAAACAGCTGGTTTTGCCAGAGCCAGTCAC